GGAAAGACTCCGCCTAAATAAGGCGATATCGAAGAGTTATGATACCAATCTTGTACAGTTTTGTGACGAACACTTCTGCAGAAGATATAGCTGTTCGCTGAGGGATATGGTACCCAGCGTGAACAGCAATTAAGGAATAGTGATTTTGAAAGACTTTAAATGTCGTCTGGCGCAGTGGAGGTGAAACTCGACTGCGGTAGCAAGGGTCCCTGGTTCGAATCCAGGTTCGAGAGATTTGTAAATGTGTAGTGGGTTGGGTTGATAGAGTAGCCTTGGCTGAAACCCCGCCCACTTAAAAATAAAAATAAAGATAAGCTTGGAAATTGACGCCAGCAATGACGTGACATCACTTTCTGTGAAAGCGGAAAAGAACGGAAGGTATTCGTTACTCCCTTTGGCCATTTCCTCTGAACATCATGGTCAGGAACAAAGACTCTCTTTATTAAAGTACCATATACCCACCTACCGAGGCCGTGTATAATTTATCAACTTTAGGGACGGGGCTATATATACAGTGGGGTCGGCGACATCGGGGTGCCATTCCTTTTGGGTCCTCTCCTGTTTCTCTTGTTCGTTAACGACTTACCAGACTTTGTGGATTCTAGTACTCCCTTGCTATTCGCAGATGACGTTAAGATCAGTCGTAAAATTACTAATGTAGGCGACTGTCTACAGTTACAATCAGATTTAAATGCAGTAGCAAATTGGGTAAAAATTAACGATTTGTCCTTAAACAAGTGTAAAATCATAAGGTTCTCAAGGAAGAAGACGGACTATAATTTTTCTTATAAGTTGCATGGGGAGCGTCTGGCGAGTGTCAGTTGTCAAAAAGACCTGGGAGTGATTTTCGATAACAGGTTAAACTTTACTGTGCATATAAACGATCTTATCAAAAAGGCACACGGCACCTTGGGCTTCATTCTTAGATCCACATCAAATTTTAAATCGTTAAATTCCTATAAAATTCTGTACAATTCCCTGTTTATACCTCCGCATCTATCATCTGGTCACCGCATACACAGAAATATAGTCATGCTATAGAACGAATACAAAATAAATTTTTTCTATTTCGGTGTCACAATGATGATTTTGTACAACTGCTTTCGGCCGAAAACAGTTGTACAAAGACAGTGATTATAGTCGTTTTTTGGTAACTCATCTCTTAAGTTGGCAGTTACTAGTTAGTACAAGTAGGTACTTCGTTGGGTACTTCCATGTTTGAACTTCAAAATGTCACCCTTACTACGCTGCCAACCCAAAACTTAACGGCATAAAAAGTGTTCCCAACATAAAACATGTTCTAATGTTCCCTATAGTTTCTGATAATGATCTTTTTAATTAAATTAAAGCACCGAAATAGAAAAAATAGTATGAAAAACGCGTGTTACAATGCTTTATTGTAATACTCCTATCTTGCGGACACTCGTGGCTACGCTTCGCGTCGCCACTCGTACCACAAGATAGTCTTATTACAATAGGTCGCATTGTAACACTTGTCTTTCAATATATGAATATACTATATTCGCTGCTTACGCTACAGAATCACGTCAGTATATCCTCGCTTTCATCACTACGTTGTGATTTAGAAGTTCGTCGACGAAATTCGGCAATAATATTTCTTTATAAATTGGTTAACGGGCAAATAGAGTCTCCATATTTGTTGTCATTAATTAATTTTTATACTTCAGATCATAGAACTAGGCCAAAATCAATTCTATTTAAAGTTCCCATATGCAGATCTAATACTTTCCGTAACTCTCCTGCTGTTAATCGCATGATGAGATTATGCAACGATCTAACTCCTGAGCTGCGGCTATTTGGTGTGCCCTTATCACAATTGAAACAACATTTAAATAACATCTAGAAATTGTCAACATAATATTACAAATCAGTAAGTTAGCGTAGGTGAATTTTATTTTATTTTAATTTTATTTTATTTTTATTATTGTTATTATTATCTTTTCTGTAAACTACAAATTGGTCTGCAGAACAGTTATTGGGCATTGCCTGTTGTTCTGCAAAGTTTTTTGAATAAATAAATAAATAAATTCCTGATCGTGTTATACTATAATCTGGAGATATTTTTTCCTATCTTCTACAGTTTTGGTTTTCAAATTGATAATGAAATAGTATATTGAAAGACAAGTGTTACAATGCGACCTTGTAATACGACTATCTTGTGGCACGAGTGGCGTAGCGAAGCGGAGCCACGAGTGTCCACAAGATAGGAGTATTACAATAAAGCATTGTAACACGCGTTTTTCATACTATTTTTTCTATTTCGGTGGTTTAATTTAATTTAAAAAATCATTATCAGAAACTATAGGGAACATTAGAACTAACATGTTTTATGTTGGGAACACTTTTTATGCCGTTAAGTTTTAGGTTGGCAGCGTAGTAAGACTGACATTTTGAAGTTCAAACATGGAAGTACCCAACGAAGTACCTACTTGTACTAACTAGTAACTGCCAACTTAAGAGATGAGTTACCAAAAAAAAAAGACTATAATCACTGTCTTTGTACAACTGTTTTCGGCCGAAAACAGTTGTACAAAATCATCATTGTGACACCGAAATAGAAAAAATCTTGTAAACGCCCACAACCTCTGCGTGCGTGGCGGAATTTTGTTTTTTTTCCTAGGTGCGAAATTCAACCTCCTTTTGCAAGGCGCGCTTCTTCGAGGGGTGACCGACTTTGGGCGCCTAAAAGTTTCTTAGAGCCGACAAGATCTTACTGATGGTGGAGTCAAACGTTCAAACCCGAATTTCGGGTAAACAGGATATCAGAGGAGGGTACTGTCAAAGGGAATGGAGTAAGAAGCCCCGACGAGATCTTACATCAGAAGGTGGAATCAACGCGAAACACGGGACTTTGGAAGCCGGTACCGATAAAGGAAATGTAGCCTTCGACCAGATCTTATGGATTGTGGAGTCAAAACTGGCTAATAGAATGCCGATCTGCCACACAAAAATGCGCTGAAGTCCCTTCGATGATACGCGGGGACTTTGATAATTGTTTATAAATGTGAACCGGTCTATTATGCTGTTGTACTTCTTTACAAATTAGAACTTCCATCTAACAATGTATAATTTTGATCTGGGCTTTGAATATAAAATATAGGATCTGAGTTAGTAGATTCGCGAAGAATAAGTAATACCATAGTGTAATGGGGCCCCTTCACGTGCATTCCGGGAACGACGCGCCATCGGTTTTGGAACAAAGCGTGGTGTGCCAACTTCTGGCGCGTTGTGCAGTGAATAAACTACACATTCGCGCCATTTCATTCATTCCAGTGTGGTACTGTCGACAACAAGATGAGTTTGGTAAAAAAAATGGCAAATTGCAGCTGTAATTCTTCACAAATATATGATGGATGACGTAAATGAAGAGCCCAAGAAGAGGAGGAAGAAGTTCAACTTCAAGACATAGTATTTGAAGAGACAGAAATTTGGCAATTTGATTTTATTACAAGAAATTAATAATACCAATCCAGTGGATTACCACATGTCACACCGCACAGCACACACAAACAAACCTACAGGAGTTTTGCTAATGTAGTCTATCCTTTTTCCTCTCCAATGTTTAACAGCGCATCCTCTTCTAGCGGCGCGAAACGAAACTACACGCTCGCATTTGGCGCGCAAAGGGTCTCGCGCCACGCCAGGAATTCAAACATGTTTGATTCCATCGTTCCACGCCAGGCGCGTATCATTCATGGCGCGAGGATGAACTACACGCACAGTTTTGGATTGACGTCACTCCAAAACTTACGGAGCGTCGTTCCGGGAATGCACGTGAAGGGGCCCTTTAAGTATGTAAAATCTAAATTTAGAATTGTAGATTTGTTATGTTGTATTGCCGGCGAATACGCAACCAATCATACAACAGAGCGACAATTTAAAATATCAGCGTCGTACCGATTAAAATGTCCCTCCAAAGATCAACCAGTAAGCGGAACTTCTTTATTAAGCGGCAGGCAAAGCGATGCAAGCTTTATAGGGGAGTCAATGGTGTCCGTCTGTCCGTCCGTGAACACGATAACTGTCAAACGCTTGGACCGATATGGTTCAAACTTTGCACAGTTAATCTATAGGCCAAATGTAATAAGCCTATTGAAAATGGGTCAAATCCAAAGACCCCGTGGGGTCACACTTCTGTGTCCCTGCCAAACACTTGGACCTATTTGGTTGAAAGTTTGCACAGTAGATATACCGACGTGCTCTGTCGGTTTTTTAGATGCTCTTTAGGGGTTTATTTACATTGAACCAGTCAACCGGAACTTCTTCATTCGGGAATTTCATTCATCTGACAGCTAGGTACTCTCACACTAAAGGCCGTCGCGCACATACGCGCGGCGCGGCATAGGCTTTAAACAGTCACTTGAGCGAAGTGCTGCGTGGCGTACCTATTGAAATCAATTTGAGCGGAAAGGGTACCACGTAATTTTGTTAAACAAATAGTTCAATTATGACGAAAATAAGCGGAGTCGATCTAATGATGTTCCTCTTGGCGTCTATTGTGTGAAACCAAAATCTATTGCCTACTGCCTACTCTACCCACCATTTAGTTCACCGCGAGATCGGTGAAACAAAAACCCACATACGTCTTAGCAGAAAAGTTAGGTGTTAGAACGACAACGATATATAACCTCAGAGCGCTAATCCGTTATTGAAATTCATTCATTTTAGGAACTATATCCCATTTAACGAAGAATTCGTAGATTTCGAAAAAGTGTATCGCAGTCACGAATAATAAAATTATGAAATTAATCCAGACCATTGTACTGCGCCAATTACGGTTACTAGAATTCATGGTCTATCGAAAAATCAAAATCTAGAATGCTAAATGCTTGATGATGATGTCATTAGGCGCTTATCAAAAGTAATAATTGTATACACCTCGTACGTGTTTTGAATATCAAACAACGCGCCCTCTACAAGATTTATTGTAAAGCAAACAAATTACTTGACTGATTTCTCTTTCTCTGTTGTTATGAATGACCAATGCGATAGACTGTACCTTCGCTCCTTTTTTCTTTCATTAGCGTAGTTCGGTGAGTTCAGTCAGCTGTCCGTTTGGAAAGTTGGTGAGATGGCTGCTGGTTGTTGTGGGTCAAAGAAACAGAAATTAAATAATTCCACAATTAGCGTACCGTCATGTAATGGTACTTCGATAACTACAAACGGATCTTTGAACGGCATGGTTGCTTTACCAGAAATGTGTTTCTTTTGTTTTGATGTGTTATACTGTCATCTTTATAACCTCGACCCACCAAAGACACCTTCTTTCAGTAATGAGGCCTAGTAAGTAAAAGGATCTACCATTTAAGTTGATTTTTAACAAATTTAAGCAGACTTTCTTTGAAAATTTAAAGGTCATTCAACTTCTTTGTTTAGCAATCATACTGTGTATATGACCTTGTTTTAATATACCTTTTGTTGTAGTCCTTTATTTGTCACTTGGAAAATTGGCAAAGATAAACGATTACGAGGATGTATAGGAACATTTAACGCGATGAATCTGCAATCGGGCCTGCGGGAGTATGCAATTACAAGTGCTTTTAAGGATTCTCGTTTCAACCCAATCACACGAGATGAATTCACCAAGTTAAGTGTCTCGGTATCGATACTTAGGCACTTTGAAGATGGTAACGATTATCTTGATTGGGAAGTGGGTGTCCATGGAATACGTATCGAATTTGTTAATGAGAAGGGTAACAAACGAACTGCCACATATTTACCTGAGGTTGCTACAGAGCAAGGTAATTGTATAATTTTTCGCGTTTCAATAAAATTTGTTCTTTGGCATATATTTTGGTGATTTATTTTAATATAATTGTCCGAGGTATGAGAGAATATTTGAAAAACTGCCAAGGTTACCTGCTAGTCGCTAGATCACATGTGTTCCTTTGTCTGTAAATTTGACTCGAGTTGTTGGGGAAACCGTTTACTATAAATCTTTACATTTATTGTGCCTTATTTCAAAGTAATGGGCTTTATTTCGAAATAATGCCATTACAATACTGGTAAAGGTAATGTAAAAGTAATACCTGAAATGTGCAAAGGTAATCAAGTAATGTCAATAAATACAGTTGTCCATTACAAGAGAGATGGACATGAAGACATAATGAATATACACTATTGGACAAAAGCAGAGCAAGAAAACATTTTTTTTTGTAATAAACATTATAACATGTTTGTTATGGTCTAAATTGATTTTTTGTGCACAGATACGAAATAGAAGAGAGAGAGTTAAATACCTTAAGGTGCATAATTGCAGTTTATACCGCATTGTAAATTAGCGAAGATTTATCACGCGAAAGTAAAATGGTTTCAGCTTAAAAACCGAATATAATATTGTAGATTTGTGTTGGTGAAAATATCTGGACAAAAAAAGATGACATTTAAAAGTATTTAACAGTAGTAAAGACTATAATAAAAAGTGACAAGACCTAAGTGCAAAATAATAATAATAAATTGGACATTTCATTAGCAACACACATAATAATTTTAATTTTTGATCCAAAATAGATGCTCCTCTAAAAATGTCAATAAAGTAAGATAAAACTTAAGAAAATTCAAGTAACCCGAAGAATTTAGAAAACTGAAAGAAAACTCCCTTAATTCTTCCATGCGTAAAAGGCATCACTAATGTTACAGCTTGAAACTTTCCTAGATCTCTTTTCTGGCTCATTTTTAAACATCAGTTCTTCTACACCAATTACTAAGAAACCCAAAGAGGAAGTTCAAAATGAAGATCATGGCGTTTATGAAATTTCTTGTACTCAATGTTCTAAATCCTACATTGAACAAACGAAAAGAAAATCACACATACTGGAAAACAAACAGCATAATTGAACACCCATTGAAATTAAAAAACGACCAAATTGTCTTAATAAACAAGAGGACATATTAATATTGTTATTTATAATCGATAGGCTATTTCATTTATATGTAGATTGTCATTATAAACAAAGGGGAAAGAGTGTTATATTTATGCAGAAGTAATATGTTTAATAATTATTTTTTATTATACGTACATCAGAATCGCCATTTAAAAACGGGATTAAATCATGCTGAGCTTTAAAAGTATATGACGTACCTATGAAACTGTCATCTGGGACTTAAAATAAAAAATCTTAGCTTGCTTTCTGTAAATGCAATAAATTTCTTTGGGTTGTCCCTATCCCTTGTTTGAAGATTTTACAAACGCACGTAATTTAGGGCGTACTTCCAAAACTGTTCCATTTTTTATTCGCATAATTTTTATGAAGTTTCGAATGAATACCAGCGGATAGCGGATTTATCCGTCACCAACAACTTTTCATATTCTTTGTAATAGCCTTTACTGGATTTTGTAGGTGCCGACTTTTCTTCTGCTTCTGCATACCTTTTTCAACCGGAGTCATTTTATTTATAAAGACGGTGACTTTTATAATCAAACTTCCAAGTGATTGTATGCAATTGTTATACAGGGTGACTTTACATCAAAGTTGCATTTTTTTAAATAGAGCCTCCTGTATATTATTGTATATTTCGATTCCTTGGTGTAACTTTATGTATTACACTTGATATCTAAAATGAGTCGTTTAGCCGCAAGTCGTCAATTTTCAAAAAGTAGATGTCCAAAAAAAAATTGAATATCGCAGTTATCATAAAACTTAGAAGGCCGTGACTTTGCAGTGTTGCTAACACGGTCGTATACACAGGTCTGAAAGCTGTTGTTTGAGACCAGTCTCTTACGTTTTGTCAAAATCGTAGTCCCTCGCTCAGCTACCAGGTGGCGCATGGATCGAAGTATGTTGTCTGTATTAGACGCGAACTCGGGTTCGAATTTGACGCGTGCTTTTTTTTTACTATAGTTTCATTGACCTTATGCGACCACTTTTAAATCCCACAACTTTTGTGTCCTGACAACATACTTCGATCCATGCTCCACCTGGTAGCTGAGCGAGGGACTACGATTTTGACAACACGTAAGAGACTGGTCTCAGACAACAGTTTTCAGACCTGTGTATACGACCGTGTTAGTAACACTGCAGAGTCACGGCCTACTAAGTTTTGTGATAACTGCGATATTCAATTTTCTTTTTAGACATGTACTTTTTGAAAATTGACGAATTGCGGCTATACGACTCATTTTTGATATCAAGTGTAATACATAAAGTTACACTAAAATTTCCCAAAGAATCGAAATATACAGGGGGCTGGCTCTATTTAAAAAAATGCAACGTTTTAAATAAGCATAAGAGACAGTCAAACATTAATTTTTATTGAAATGTTGCGTATTTTGCAGCGGCAAGCGTTTATTGGTCATTAGTACACACTAGGTACGTGATTTACTGTTAGTTAAAATCGCGAATAACCTATACCCATCACTTTACAATTTCATAGTTTTTAATTTGATGGTTGGTAAGAGTGGAAACATTTGATTTGACGGTTGTTGTCATTACTGCTCTTATTTACTTTTATAATTAATTAATTTCTCTATATTTTTTCGTGTTTTTTTTCATATTTTAATAGTTATTCTGCTATTCTGGTCGAAGACGAATCCAACAAACCAAAGATGATCAAAATAGGTCCAGCCGTTAATAAGTGGTGTAACCTACACGACAGATAGATTGTTGAATTACAAAAAATATGTAAAAGGTAAATATATCCTGAGAAAGCTATTCAATTCCTACTTTTGATGCATTAAAAAAACCATTTAAAAAAATCAAGTTATCTTTGATTGAAATTTTTGAAAATTGACAAAGTGATTTCTTTTAGCACAAAAAAAGTTTAACTTTGACCGTTCGGCGTATGTTGGTACATTTCATGATAGTAACACTGCAAGAGTCACTGCCTTCTAAGTTTTATGATACTTAACTGTGATACTCAATTTTTACCCTTCATCTACTTTTTGAAAAATGTGAGTAATTGCGGCTAAACGAGTCATTTTAAATATCATGTGTAACACTGTACATACAATCACACTAAAATTCATTAAGGAATCGAAATATGTAATAATATAAAGGGGGTTCTGAACAAAATGCAACTTTAATTAAACCACCCTGTATAACAATTGCAATATCGTTGAGAATATTTTTAGGTTGTAGCCTTAAGAATCCTTCAACAGTGAATCTTAAATATGTGCGTTTCACTCCACTCAACCTCCATTCACGTTCTAATCGTCGATCCTCTATTTAGTATACAGGGTGTCTTAAATTGAGTAGGATAACATGACTATCTTTGTTATTATTATACTTACAGATTCGGTTAAATTAGCAAAGTTGTGTAGCTTTTGATGCTGATGGGTATTCCGATGGCGATATTTTGGAAAAAATAATTCGTTTCGTAGATAATTGGAAAAAAATTAAAAACGCCATTTTTAAAAAGTTCAAATATTTTACTAACAAAGGTGTATACACAAAATTTTCAAAATGGCTGTTTTCGAGATATTGACATCAACTTCCTTATTTTAAAGGGACCCCATTATTGGATTTTTACGTCACTCGATAGAGAAAAAAATTATAAAACCAGTGATACTAAACACTTAGTATTTCATTTGGGAATGAAACTTTGAGATTTTTGTCTCAAAGTTTACAATGTATTTCTTATGGAAATAATACCATGGCTGATTATGATTGAAACCAAATTCGTTCGTTTACGAGTATTGTCTCGCATAGTCACCATCGATATGGCAATGGAATTATTGCCATAAGGTATACATACATTATAATAATAACAAAGATAGCCATGTTATCCTACTCAATTTAAGTCACCCTGTATGTATAGGCAATTCATATGTATTGCAGCAAGTGGTTTCTAACAGCACGTGTCATAAGAGTGGTAACGTTGAGATACAGTGTAGGTTTAAATGGGAGCAAATGTCAAATTTAGTTTATATTTTCACTAGCTTAAACGGTCGGAAGTGGGCGGCTCCTCTTAGAACCTTCTATGGGCCCTTTTTTTTGTAGAATCTAAATCTGTAATTAGAATGGCCATAACACGCTAGATATAGAGACTACTGTTTTCTTAATTCTTATGGGCGCCACATTGGATTTTTTACGGAATGAGAGGTGAAAAAACAAGATCTAATTATCCGTGGATGTTTTGTTGAAAAATGAATATACAAGTAAAACATTTGATTTAAAATTTTTTCTTGTAAATTTATATACAAGTATACAGTGCGTTTGAGAAAAGAGGGTCACCTCAATATCTTTTTTATTTGGCGAAATACGAAAAATTTGTGAAATATAATTTTATATGTGACATTACGATCTATGTAATCGCATATTCAAACTTCCGTTATCACTTCTGGTTACATTTGACAAATTTTCGTATCTCGCCAAATGAAAGAGGTATTGAGGTGACCCTCTTATCTCAAACGCACTATATACTTTTACATAAATTTCCAACAAAATATTTAAAATCAAATGTTTTACTTTACTTATATTTATTTCTCAACAATCTAAGGGTTTTCCAACTGCAACAATTGACTGAATAACAACATTGGTTGGAAATGCATTCATGTGTTCGCCCCGCACATGCGCAAATCAAGTTTAGGCCTGCGGAACTTTTTTTAGGTTAGCGAATCTCTATTGAGATATGATCTTATGATTTTTTCCTTTTCAGGTCAAGAATGCATTTCTCATGATTGTTACTTGTCAGATACTCATTTAATAACCAATTTATAATATTCTGTAGTCTATTATTAATTATTACGGTTGGAGTTTCATCACATCCAATGCAAGCAGTAATCAAATATATCGAAGTATTTAGTTATTAAGTGTGCGCTCTGAAAGTATAGTTGCAAATTTACAATATCTAGTTTCGAACTTGGTTCAACTTTATTAATGTTAGAAAATAAGTAAATTATAATTAAAATCATTGCAACAATGCCTTCTAATATATTTTTTTTATTTTCGCAAGGTTGGGATCAAGTTCAGACAATAGACTCTTTGCTTCGTAAAGGCGGTTATAAAGCTGTAATTTCCAATGAACTCCGTCGTAGTATAAAATTGACTCGTTATCAAAGTGAAAAAATTACAGTGAGTTACCAAGACTATATGAACCATTGGAACAATCAGCGTTGCTAGCAGTTAATGTGGGGGCGTGGCATCCCCACGCCTCCACAGACAACTCCACTCTATCCACATACGATGCCACTATATCGATCACCGACAGTAGTTATGGTACAACCTCCATTACCTCTTCCCTCCTATTCAGGACCGAATTTTGTGCAACCGCCTTTCGTATTACCGACCATGCCTACTGGTAACTCTGTATGGTGGGATCATTACCCTGGACCATCCGGCCAACAAGACTTCGTAATGCTACCCTCGCCAGAATCGGATAGAAATGGTTATCAATCACCACCTTTTCGAAAGCGAAAGTGACACAAAAACAGTTAAATTTAATTCTGATAAAACTTTTATTACATGCCAATCATGTGCCCTCAATTAACGTTTTTTAACACCAAAGGTTTTCAAATTTCTTAGGACGTGAACTGTTTGACGATATAACGTATGAAGTATCAGTTATTGAATTCGCTATCACATCTGTGCCTGACCATCGCACTCGGCGCTGCTTTAGATAAATGCCAAACGACCTTTTTGGTTTAGATAATTTTATTCCATCTAAGATTATGTTTAGGTTTTATCTTTTTTGTATTCATCCTGTTTTTTTTATTCGATTAAGTTTAACATCAAGTATGTTGACAAATCCAAACATTGAAAAAAGTACAACCTCTTGAATTTTATTTTTGAATTACACCCTACACGAATAAGCACAATCAATTCAATATGTACAGAGAAACTTAGTTTTATATACATACAGTAAATTAATGTAGGATATGAATATTTTTTTTATTAAAAACTCGTAAAAATTCACTTAGAGTAAGGAGTATGAATTTTAGTTTAATTTTTCAAGTACATAGGTATACAAGAATCGTGCATATGTATGTTAAATAATCGCAAGATTGGATACTTACTAACACAGATAGTGTTTAATTTTTTAGTTCAATTTTTTGGTGTATGGTATATCTCTGAGAATTATTACCTTTCACTTATTGATAATTTTCTTCCAAAAATATTGAACTGCTGATGCTTAAAACGACTCCTCACACTAATGCAAAAGGTATCAATTATTAGCGGAGATATATTGAATGAAGGTTTATTAAATAGATCGCAAATGCTAATTCAATTCAATATTTTTTGAACATATCAATATTAGAACTTTATTAATTTTGGTGTTTTGAATTTGTGCAACTAATACCGTCGCTTTTTCGATCTATTGAAATGCTTATTATATCGTATGATTACTGCTTGTGAAAGTTTAATGTAGGCCCTGGAAAAGAAATGTAGTCAGCTAGTCTACTAGAATATTTCAAATTCTCCTGTTCATTAATTTAGTGAATTGTGATTTCCAAAAGCAGTTTCTTGTGATACATTCTACGCAAAATAACATTAATCGAAAACACTAAAGAAACATGCATTTATTTGGCCCTTATTAATAATTAGTGCAAGCCTGTTTGATTACCAATTATATACATCATTACTTCATCCATATTCCAATTGAATAAATGAATGACAAAAGGTCAA